ATGTTTACATAAGCCACTCTCGTTCGAGTCTTGCTTCATAAAACAAAATAATTTGATACCTTGCAATATTCTACAACTCAAATACTATATACTTTTTATTATAATTATAATCTCGAAATAAAACAATGGCGTATGTTGTCTAATAATACACCAATAAAAATCAATATGAATAAATGTTGCATCCTAATTTTCTCTTTTTGTCGGGTTGAACTAATAATATTATCTCTTCGAAAAGCATCTTAATTGCCTTCTATTGAATATTTCAAACAAAGTTCACAGAATTGTTTTTGTTACTAGCAAACAGTGAAGTAGCATTTAAAGAGTTTTCGTATAGTAAAAGTTTCTCCACTCAACTATCGATAATCAGATAATGTTGACTAGAAAAAAACTTCGAATAAACAACGAAACTCGCTTAGGTTCAATGATATACTGAACAAGAAACTTCATAGTTGCATAACCGAGAAGAGGTATTTTTCTACTAAGTACGATAGTTCTGTATGTCGTATGGCATTAGACATACTTCATCTTTGTTCTGTATCTGCTCTACTTATCATGAGTAACTGTCATGGTAATGATAAAAAAAAACCAAGCATAAGGAAAGCATAACAGAAAGAAGAAAAGAACTTAATTTTTCAACATAAGCACATCACTTATAACAAAGCTGTGTTCATTGCTAAAGATGTAAATGTAGAGAGTGGCTGTTGCACATTAAATTGTTATCAAGAAAGTGATCAATCATCAATCGTGTGAGATGAAAACTATTTTTTTGTCTACTAGCAATTCTCATCTTACTTGAATCTTTAAATAATATCATCAGCATATATTTGTGAATTTTTTTTTATGAATAAAAATTCTTTTGCGATAGCTTCTATACTACTACGCGGAATCCATCTATCTTGAAAACTTCAAAATTTTACATTCGAATATTCTAAATCGCATCTGAAAAATAAGAGAGAGTGTGTCTATTAAGTATATACAATGAGAAATATTTTGCACGAAAGTCTTGTCTTTTTCACTTTATTTGTTTCTTTTTATTCTTTTGACATATTCATTAATCTAATAAATACTAATATTATTTCAGTTTAACACTACAAAAAGAGAAAATTACAATGCAACGTTTAATTCATATTTTGTTTTATGAAACAAGACTCGAAGATGGTTTATATAAAAATAAAATTTGCTAAAAAATGAATCGTATGCTATAAGATACCTTTGTTCATAAAAAATCAGCATGGGAAATGCTGACAATAATCGATACTGACACATCCCACAACGATATGAAGTAATATGGTCTTATTCTTGTAAATTCTTTTAAACTACAAAATCCCTTACATCCACGGTATGTGCTAGCCTTCTCAATTTATTGAATTAAATGGTGATTAATTATACACTCTACTGAAATAAAGTGGATGAAGTCATCCTTATAATTAACATTGACTTGATACCAAATAGATACAATATAGAATAGAAAAGAGGAGGGGAGAACAAGATTTCTATCCAGGATCTACGTCAGAGCATATGACAATAAGACATTTTATAACTCTATCTTGTCTTTCATAAGAAGAGTTGAGATAAAATACTTTATTTCATTAGAATTATTGAACTTCGAACTTCACATGTAGGTATTTAGTTTTTTTTACAATTCTTATAGATCTATGAAAAAAAGTATTACAGTATTTACATATTTTGCAATAACTTTGTAAATGACAAGAACATCAAATATTGCGAAATATCACAAGAAATTTCAACCTTATTGGATAGAACTCAAAAGTCAGAAACATATTAATTACAAAGACATCTGTCACAATTAAACTATAGGTGTTATATGCAGCAACATATATTAACCAATCGTTGTCGATAGCCACGCAATATAAATGAATGTTTCAGTTTCAATTAAAATTTCATTTAGCTAATGCTTTGAGTGTAACTTTGATAAATAAGAACTATCAAGAGAGAGAAAAAAGAAGTCTGTTAAGTATCTTTTATCAAGAGGAGAGCACCATCGTGTTGAGTCGCACATTGAAACTCTTATTTTCAGCTAAACAATATCGATAACTGTAGTTATATATACAACAATTCTACATTAAAATCATTTTGTCTATTTTGTCATGCTACTGCTTATTGTCGGAGTTGGTATTGTTGTAGGACGTGTAGTTTCACATAAGTTGTTTGTTGTCGTTGATGAAATCACTTCGAATCTCGCATTGCTAAGTTTTTGTCTTTGTAGAACTACAGGTGATTGTATGTATGTAGCACTCATATTGCAAATTTATACTTGTGATGATGTGTGCCCTTCACTCCGACGTAGAAATATTTGAGTATACTATATTGTTCGTCTATTTACACATATCTTTTACATCCATCGAAATTATCCATGGTCAACAATTTCCTTATTTTAATTATATTTGGTTTTCATTGCGCATTTCATAATTAGCTTTACTGCATACGCTTAAGTACAATCGAATATAATTAGCAATAAAACTCGAGAATGATGAGAACATCGGCTCCCATCTACATTATCTTTATTCGAGTTGATATATGAAAAGCTTGACACTTCTTCACGGATGAGCCGATTCTTGGTAACAGTCTAAAGTGTCCCTGAAAAATTGTCCGCGATATTTTGTCCTTCGAAAAAATGCCTTTTATTCTCAAAATGTACATTTTATAGTAAGAGAACATTTTGCAAGGACATTTCGACGGAGGACATTTTTTCCAAGGACGAAATATCGGGGACATTTTAGACTGTATTCAAACGTTTTTAGCACTCTAAATAAGTAGGAAATTCAAAGAGGTTAATAAACAAAATGATTTATTTCTAAATGATTTGTAAATTTTTCAAAATGAGTGTTTATAAACATAGTTATGAATATTGTGTAGCTGAAAAGAAGAGTTTCTATGTATTATTCAAGATGATAATTTTAACGCTCCCATTTGACCTTATCTATTATTCCTTGTTTCTTCTTACTTTATACGCCATCATTACTTTGTATTTATTGTCCTTGAAATATTATGATGCCGCTCCGCTAGCTGTGCACAAAAGTATGTGCTTTGCATGCAAGCAGGGCGATTCATGATAAGAAGAAATCAAATAAAGTGTAATGCCATCAGCACCAGGTCTGCTATCAAAAAATCACTACAAAAATGTTCACCTCCCGATGAAAGCTATTCAGTTACATGTTACAAATGGTGCCGACAAAAATCTATTATTGAAGTCTGACTTCAACAAAATTTACTGTCGAAATTACAACTTCGAGACGACATATACATAAACATACAGCTCCTGGATTATTAACCGACGAAAAAAATGAAATTTCGAACGATCGATTGCTTTGGCTACAGCAGACTGATGAGAAAAAATTGATTCTTTTTTTTTGTAAAGTAACACTTTCTGCAGCTTTTTTTTACGAATAAGCAACATTTTGCTGGTTTCCAGGTTTTGGAATTAATGCGTGTGCTGAATAAGAATAAGAGAAAGATGGTGTATGTTGGTCTTTAAATCGAGACTAATAAATATTTCATCTGATGGTACACATGATAGAAAGAATTTAAAACATCGCAGTATCAAATTTCTATGATGAATTTCTGAAGATCGGCAAGAATTGAATGAGATTCCATGTGACTTCACCTGACCCCAAGGGTTTAGAGTCTGCCGTTTCTCCCTCGAAGCAATCTCACGTACTCAGATAGAGTAGACGAACGATTCGTGCTCGAATACATTACATACAAGGGAGCATTCGTCGTGCATTGTATATTTGATCCGATTCAACGCAAAGCCATGAATAATTGTGTGATCCAATGGAAATCACTTGCATCCTATCTCTAAAAGATCACTAACGCTCTGACAATGTAGAAACTTCAATGGATTCCATTGCGGAAGAGAATAGTTAACACTTCATTGACCAATTATTGAATATGCTGGTGCAAATAATTTAATTTGGTCAGTATTTCTTAAAACTTACAAACCATGCTCTTGTTCTAGCTCATTTTTGGTATTTGAATATTTTATAACTGCCATGTTTTGTGAAAAACGATGCGTGGCGAGTGTTTAAGTATATAGCAAAAAAATTTGAACTTTCCAACTTTCTATCGACCATGATTGACATGTCTATGACTGTTAACGTCTGTAACACTTTAGAGAGCTATAGGATGTTTATAAGAGCCTGGGATAATTTGAAACTTTCTGAACGTACTTGCTTTGGATACTTGAGAACAGCGTGAGACGATTTGTTAGGTTTCTGGACCATGGTTCGAGTCACTCCTTATGTTTCACATTTTCAATCCCATAGAAAGTATAGTCAAAAACTTTTAGACAATATTTGATTTTATTGGTTGTTTTTGTATAAGTAGTGACTCAATCAACAGCTTCCTTGCTGTGCCTTTTTCCAACCATTTTATATCAATTTTATTTTCATGATCTTTTCGTTCAAGAATTATTTGAAGAAAATTGTTTTCTTTTGTTGGTTTCATAAGCATATGCAAAGAGGATTATACCTTTGTTCTTACTAAATTTTTCCAATAGATTCGCTCGAAAATCTATGTCTTTATCATAGAATCAGTTAAATTCTCGAATAAGAAGGCAGAACAAGAGATGAGTGCTTGTTTAGTAAGTCATGATAAGAGTGAATCTTTACAAGTATTTGAATTTTTGTTTTCCTTTTAGTTACTTCAGTAATTGTTGAAAATCGCCTGACGTTCGGCGTGACTAGTGATACCTTCTGCCAGGATCAACATTAAAAGTACGCGTGCCTTCCATGGATGAAGACAATCGGAAGCGATAAAACCAAGCTCATCGTCGTTTACAGCGCCATTATACATAACGTGGCCAGAAGGCACACGAGACGAGCGCACAACCGCTACACCTCTCTGCACTGCTTCTGCTGCTGCCTGTTGCAGTATCGTGTGAATCGATCCATTACCAGTACCTGCGATTACAATACCCTTAACCCCCATATTGACGAGTGTCTGGATGACGAATGCCGACGGTTCTGTATAACTCAGAACGATTTCCACCCAAGGCATTGTTGAAGACGGAAGGGAAAAAATATTAAATCGGCTCTGTATGGTATGCATGCGTGTAACACTATGCAGATACTGCACATCGCCGTCCTGTATCCATCCAAGTTTACCCATAATGGGAGAGCGAAACGCTTGAACGGCAGCAGTATCCGTTTTTGTTACGTAGCGTGCACTATGAATCTCGTCATTCATCACTACTAGTACTCCTTGACCGGATGATTTTTTGCTTCCTGCAACCATCACGGCTTGGTACAAATTTAAAGGACCATCGGCTGCAAGCGCAGTTGCGGGTCGCATCGCGGCGGTAATCACAACGGGTTTCACGCTCTTTACCGTTAAATGTAGAAAAAAAGCCGTTTCCTCCAGTGTATCCGTGCCATGTGTAATAACGATGCCGTCGACAGTGTTACTATAAAGTAGCGCATTAACACGTTGTGCGAGCTCTATCCATAACCCTGTTGTCATGTCCTTACTATCGATGTTCGCTAACTGTTCAGCTTGAATTTTTGCGATACTTTTAAGTGTTGGTACAGCTGCCAGCAATTGGTCTACACCGAGTACACCTGCATCATGACATACCGTATTCACTGCGCTAATTCCTGTACCAGCGATCGTCCCACCTGTTGCCAATATAGTTATATGCGGCAGCATTGACTAGAAAAATAAAGATGTCGTAATAAGAACATGAGTGGTGTCTCAACTCTAGGACACGATATATCAATTTTCAAGCTCATTTAGACTAGTGGTCTATAAACTCAAACCTCTTCAGAAACTGTTTCGAAAAGATTTCTAGGCCCATGTCAAGTTTCTGAAAACACAGTCTAGGTTTCCGGGTCTCCGGAAAAAAATGGGCTTTCACGAGATCGGATTCGGAAACTCTCAACTGTATTCTCAGAAACCTTGGCCTAGTCCTGAGAATTGCATAAGTTTCTCGACAGCTGCTTTTGACTTGAAAACCTTCACGAAAATTCTGTGCATATTCTTGAATACCTTTGAGTTGCCGGATTTTGTTATGAGGAACGTTCGAAGCGTTTTCCAAAAATCGAGTATGGCTTCTGACCATTGTTCAGAAACTTCTAGGAGTTTCTGACTATTCGAAAAATCTTTGAGTTTTCGAAAAAATTCTCATAAACCGATTAATTATCATGGAAAGCTCTAATGGTACTTGAGTTCGCTATTTTTTTCTCACGTTTCCATCGTATAATTTTCAGATTTAGGAGTTGCTTTTCAGCAGGATATAAATTTTACTTAACTTATGTGAAATTGTTTTATAAAAGCGCCAGAACCCTGAAAGTTAAAAAAGGTGCCTTATGGCTAGAGAAACTTAGCTAATTGTTAAAGCTCGCATCGCCTATAAATTTGCATGAATTATAAAAAAATTTAGCGTAAGAGTCGAAGAGATGCACTAAATTGACTCTAAAGAATGTTGTATTTTAGGTTTTCATTCATTCGTTCTTTGTTCAATCTCCAGACATTATTAAAGTGCGGAAAATGCTGAGTTTAAGCAGAAAATTGTTTTCCTCTTTTCCTGTTTTTGATGAAGAGAGTCGATTGAGTTACATCAGCAAAACTGTAATCTTACAGGTTTCTAAATTGGTTTTTGTCGGAAAAAGTCAAAAGATTAAGTGTTTGTCGAAAAACATGCTAAACTGTCTTAAAATACTAGTAGAATCATAAAAAAGCTTCTGAGCACTAGCAAACCCATCAAGTGCTATTTTATGAGTGATGAGAAAAGTAATTTCCAGTGAATTATAGTCAACATACCAACAAGGAAAAAACAGGGCATCTAATAAAAAAAAAGATTCGTCATGTCGAAAATCAACGTTTTCGATATTAGGAGTAAAAGAATAAAAAATGAGTACGTTTTTTGAAATTTTGACTATGAAGATTGTGTTTTCAAATAAGATGCATGTGATATTTGAAATCAAAATAACAAATCAGATCGAATGATATAGGCTTCATTTAAAAATATTTGTCATAAAAATTCGATCCCTGCTTTCTCTCTCTGCTAGTGGAGACCATTTCAATTAGGTCCTTGCCGAGTCAAATTTCGATGACAAATATTTTTAAACGAAGCCTATGTCATTCAATCTGATCTGTTATTTTGATTTCGACTATCGCATGCATTTTATTTGAAAACGCAATCTTCATAATCAAAATTTCAAAAAACGTACTCATTTTTTATTATTTTATTCCCGATATCGAAAATGTTGGCTTCCGATATATCGAATCTTGAGTGTGGAGGGATCGATGTAGGTGTGGTATGGATGTGCACCTGGTTGTGAGTATGTATCTAACATCTTCACAACTCACACCCTTCGCCGAATATACCCGAAGTTTTTATCTGAATTTTGATTTACTATCAGATAGAGCATGCCATCAGCACCTTTAATGAATACGCAAGAATACGAATCGAGGCCCTTATTGAGATATGGCGTGTCAAATAAAAGCCTTCACTGCAGACTCGCTCAGAGCGACTTTTTTTTTATTAATTATTTATCTTTCAAATCGATTGTTTCAAACAAACAACGTACGTTCAAGTTTATACATTTTTAGACTGATATATCAATTGTTTCTAGCATTAGAGATCTTATCGGACAACGTTGATAAATCACGATGAAATCTTTCCATGTGCTAAATCGTTTTCTGGATTGAGATTATATTCATTCGATGAGTGCTAGTGAGCGTTAAAAAAGTCTAGAATGATTTTGTTTTCCAGCCTTTCATTCTTACGGTATCGAATTTTTACTTAATTTTTCAACAAAAGCCAATAGTCGTTCCTCAAATCACGTTGAAGGTTGAATTTTGAGTTTTGGCTTAATATTTTGCACAAATTATGGTCCGAAGGTGACTAGTTCGTTGGAGATATTTCAGGTTTTTTCGTTGCTTCTGTCATAAGATACGAATATAAGTAGAACTTTTGCTTTATCATTCAACAGAATTTTGAATACACATGTCTCACTAATAGCTGAAAATTACACAAAATATCAAGTTATTATATAGAGTAATTTTAGGGATTGCTTCTGTGTTCTTTTTTTCTGTTCACTGTGCCAGAGCCTCATCCACACCTTAACATGAAAAATAATTTCATAGATTCTTTCAACTGCTAACAATCATTGGTTCACTTTATATAAATATAAATTCTAATCGAACATAACTTTATTTAATTTTAATCGAGATGATATCTAACATGAACAACTTAGAATAACATGTTTAATCAGTTTATATAATTGTCATTGTAACTATTACATTCATGTATGAATATGAGTAGCAGAGAGTCAATCTCTTAAGATTAAATACGATAATGGTAACAGATCTTTTAATCATTAAACAAGTTCATCTTTGTTTTGTATTTTTTCATTCGAAAAGTAATCATTTGTTTCCTGATAAAGGCAAATGTTCAGCAATCTTTTCATCGAGACAAATAATATACAATACTCGACGTTTTATCATATTTTTGACAAGAATAATAATACTTTCACGATTTTTTCACCACTATAGAAATGATTTGACATGGAGAATCCACTGGTGAATGGCACAATCAAATACGTTCTTGTTTATCAGCATGATATGTTACACACCATTGAATATAATCGATTCAGAATTGGAAAAATAGATCGAAATTGATGATTGATAGGCAATATCATGTAAATAAAACTTATGTTAGGAAAACAAATTTTGGATGGAATCGGTGAGATAAAAAGTCTTTATCATCACGTCTTGATGCAAATGTAACAAAAGGAATGAATCGTTTACTTGAATTTCCATTAAATAGTCATCCAAGAGCAGGTTGTTTATCAATACCAAATGATTTGAATCCAATAGGATATTTTGATCCATGTAAAGAAGGTTTAGTACTCAAATTAAATGATTTATGTCAACATATTGAACAATTACCAAAACAAAATTAACAAACTGATGATGAAAAATATATTACAAAACAAAAAGTTCTTTCTTAATTAAATGAAAGAAAGAAAGAAAAATTCTTTTTTATTGAATAGATTATGATCAAGCTTCTCTGAAACCATTTATTCATATATTTGGTCATTTTGTTCAACGTTTACAAACAACTACATAAGATGAAACATTAGCTGAAAGTAGTCAGTTATTTTTGTTATTTTTTGTCTTGTTTTCATGGCTTGTCTATTTTAGGTCTTAATAAAGCCCTAGACACATTAGAAGACCCTGGGTCTTCCATTCTATCTTATCATTCACAAGTCACAAGAGGATCTTCTATTATGTCTTTAAAAAAGTCAAATTTTTTGGTGATCTCAACGAAAAATTCTAATTTCAACACTTTTTTTAATACACCGTTAGTAAACGAATTTATTTTACTTAATCCGCCCTCATCAATGGAAAAGAAGAATAAAAAAGAACTATGTGATCACTAGACTTTTATACTGATTAGCATGCCATGATTACAAGCGGTTTTATCTATAGATTTCAAAAAGAAGTGTACCACCCATACTTATCGATTTTTATAAAATGAACATTGAATTGTGTCAATCTAAGTTTTAGCTATTTGTAAGAATAATTTCCGGTTCTTTGCACAAAATACATTCGGACATCTTGCAGATAATGAAAAAGTATGTATTAAGATATTGGATAAGATCAAATAAAGTCTGATACAAATCTTCAAAAATCAAGAAGGTTTATTTATAGATATAAGAAGATTTATCCGATTTTTTTCCTATTACACTGATTTGGTTGCGTAGAATTCTTTTCTATGAAAGTATCACGGACTTGAAGTAGATTCAAAAAGAACACTGAAAACAGCCTTAGAAATTTTTCATGACTCTTGGTAAGATATCTAAAGTATTTAAACAGAAACAGAGCCTGTGGAAAGAATTTTGTGAATAATAACTCGAAAACTCTGGAAGAGTTCTTTTTTGCCAAAGCTCAAGCAACGTTTGTTTTTGTTCAACCTACATCATTTTCTTCTGATTGAACCTTGCGAAGATTCTAGATGTGTAAAACATAAAATGTTCTATCTACTGATGCAAGATTCTTCCAACTTAGAACAGGATTCGTTGACAAACAAGCTTACAGAATTTGATTGAGGTGCAGAAAAAATATGGAAGATCGTTGCCAAACGAGTAAATATCTGTTTATTTTTTCAATATATTAACGATAAGATAACTCCATCTTGAAAAAAAAAGTCAAGAGATCTACGGAATGGAATAAAACCTCTGGAATGTACTTCTAATATTTATCGCATTTTTGGAACCCAAAATAGTTTGAAGATGCTTCATAACCAAGATTTTAGTAAACGACTTCTTTGATTTTTCATGGTATCTAAATGTTCTCTAGCATCATAAGTCATGTTGTTTTTGCTTGACTAAGACCATGCTGGTTGTTTCATATTGCACTTTTTCTAGACACAATCCATCAATACCAGAAGCTGAAAACAAAACGTTAAATCAGAATGATTTTCTAAATCGAAGACTGTTTTCACGTAAGACGAGGCAGGGAAGAAAAAACCTCCTCGTTCTGGTCTTTAAACTGAAATTGCAATTGTAATCATGAGAAAGATCGCATATAAAGTTATATCAATAACTACAGTATATATTTATCAAGATTGAAGTTTTGAATCTAAAATCTTGCTGTTTATACTGTATTAATTAGTTTTTGTATAATAGAGGAAATGACGCAAAATCCATATAATAATATAGAAATTAAACGATCAACACTAGAACCGCTATTTCTCATCATGTCTAGAATATACTGTATATCTTCTAGGTTAATAGATAGCTTCATAGTTACATCAATATAAAACTAGATTCACAAATCGATAGCTAGATTAATGTGTTGTCGAAGTCAAAATTACATCAAAATGGAATATCAATTTCATAGATGTTTTCGAAAACATGTGCAAAGTTCTCCTCTTTCGATTACTGAAAATCATAAGTCACTAACTGGTATTGTTGTCAAAGTATCACGATTACACCTACTACTTTTAGTTTTGACATCGTCATCAACGTGTAGCAAATGTGTGAAAAATAAAAATTGTAATCTACCTCTGTTATCACTTCGACATATTTTACACTCGATATTTCTACTAATTTTCTTTTCAACATGTTTTTTTTTATCAGAATTTGGCTTAAGAGCTGAATACTTAGGTGAATACATCATGAGATGCATTGTAAGACTATAAGTAACATGATATTCAGGTAGTCAGTTAGATCGACAACTAGATGAATAGATAATTACAAAGTGGCACAAAAATAACAGGACAAATATTTTTTTTCATTTTTTTTATTGAACATAGTAAGTTAAAGCTCATATTTATACCACATATACTAGGTGACATAATGCCAAGATACAGCATATGATCAATGTCTAAGTGTTGTAATTTCTATTAAAGCGTACAAACATAGAGCAGTCAAAAGTAAGAAAACTTGCGATGTTCAATAAAAAAAATCGAAAAAATTATTGGTCCTGTTACTTTTGGGCCACCCTGTAGTTAGATAGATAGACAGATGATAAATGTCCATCACAGAGTTAATAATAGCAGATATATTTTTGAATAACTATCGAATGGGGGTGGCACTTTTACTTTCTTCTAGAAAAGGAAAGTCGAAAAATTTTCTTTTTGTTTTTCGTTCTGTAAAAGATTGAGCCGCTTTTCCTATGTTGTTCTATAGAGAGAAAGTTAAAAAGAAAGTGAAAACGAAGGCGGTACTGGTAGTGGTCATGAGCGCTTATATGAGCGTCAGTGTTTGTCTGATCTCGACTAGAAAACAGAAGTTACAGTTACTTCTTAGTTTCGTTACTAAGCAATTAGCAACAGAAATTTTGCGATTTTATGGAATGAGTAAGTAATTTTCTAACAATAACGATTATCTCATAAAGTTTGATCGAGAAATCCAAATCTGTACCAGAGAACGTCTCAGGACATCAAAAAGTTCGTTCTGCATGTTGACAAAAATAAAGTTTCTATGAATACAAAGGCACGATATCAAATCTTACAAAAGTACTAAGTACATGAAGTTACTTACAATCATCCTGTTAATAAATTTCATCACACATATTCCTACCGAACAAAAACAATTGTGATGCGAAAAGTAAACAATAGAATAAGAAAAGGCACGTACGGATTCTGAAGTCACAATATAATCAATAGAAACAGATGAAAACAAGAAAGAAGTTTTTTTTCAGTTTCTCCTATGAAAAAATAAATAATATCTGATCGATATGACTTGCTGATAAACGTGTTTCTTGTTGAGTATATGTCAACCCAGATAACCTAAATAGTTTTTTCAACGAAGCACTAGTTGATGTTAAGACATGTATTTTTATAATTACCATTAATATTAACAAAGAAATACGAACTCTATTCAATAGTATTCGTACTGAATCATGGGCAAAATGGCTCGTATATGAGTATAATCAATCATCATGCCAGTTAACGATTTGGGGTCTTAAAACAGAACATTCTCGTATAGAATCAATGTTGAAATCAGTTCTAACAAAGACTCATTCGAAAACAATTGAATGTGGTTCAATACGAGCAACATTTGAAAATGGTTTAATTTGTTCTACAATTGAATTAATGGAAAATGCTCTTCGACTTAATCTTCAACGAGTACCATGTAAAAGTTATGAAAAATTACAACAATGGCTTAAAGTTAAACTGGATATTAATCGACATGATATAAAAGAGAATAATTTTCAAGAATGTAAATCAAATGGAAGCGATGATGACGATGATGATGGTTATGAAGCACCACCTTTTTACATTTTACTAAAATCAACTGAAGCTTTTCAAAGAGCAACAGCACGTTTACCATTATATCATGTTTGTCCTCAAGAAATGTTATCATCATCTACAACTGGTACACACATGAACGAGAAAGATGCATGGAGTCGTCATTTAGTATTAACAATTCCACAAGATAGTAAATTCATGACTGCTAAACAAATACTGAATCAACTTACTCCACATGTCGTCGATTGTCGACGCTTCGGTAAGAGAAGTACGAAAGCTCAACCTGCTATTCAACTAATCAATATGCCAAGAGATGCCAATGAATCATTCATACGTCAAATTTTACAATCAGTTAATCCGTTAAAAATTAGTGTAAGACAAACACATCAAGATGGTACAGGTTCATCATCGGCACATATATTTTTTGCTGATAAACAAGAACGTCAACAAGCTATTACAATTCTTCAATCAGATTTTTGTCAAAAACCAATTCAAATCACTGTTCGACATCGAACAAGTCATCAACTTGTAAAAAAGCAAATTGTACCAACTGTTACTGAATTGGAAGGAAAAGCTCCAATACAAAATACATTTCTTCTTACAGCAACTAATCGTGAATCAGCACTTCAAATATACAAAGACATTGTACCAAAAATGGACGCATCATGGAAAATTGATGGTTCAGCAACAGTAACCGTAACACATCCTCATTTATATCCTGATTTTGATACACTCATTCAACAAATAGCTAATAAATTTGAAATTCAAGTTGAACAACAACCAATCGATCAAAAACAACAGAAAGGTCGTAGTAATGGTGGTATTCGTTGTTATTTTAATCATGGTACTCCACAAAAAACGGCATTAGCAGCAGCTATGCTTGCACAAGCCACATCTCCAATTATCATCAAAATGATCAATCATCGACAAAAGCAATTGTTCGATGAACTTTTCTCAACTGGTATCATTCAAGATTGGTCGAATAAATTAAAACTTGAAACCATTAAGAAAGAAAAATATGTTACATGGATCGAAATTCGAGGTCCTCAAGTTCAACAAGGTCAATTGATGCGTCAAATTGCCGATTATTCTGATACATTTGATGAACGATTTCGTGTACTCGAATTAAATTCAACGACGGCGAACTTTTTTGGACGCAAAAAATTAGCCGATAGTCAACTTCAAGCACTTGCTGATACATGGATAAATTGGGGTTGCCATGTTACTTATATGTCGAAAACAAAGTCGATTGTCATCTATGCAGAACCTGCAACACAACAAAAGTTCATTGATTCATGTGAAACAGAGATCAAACAAATTTTGAGCAAACTTTCAATCGATGGTAATATTATTCGTGATAAAAAGAAATGTGTATTTTGTGGTAAAACGTCCTATTCAACAAATACATTACGTGCATGTGGTCATGCCTATTGTCGATGCGCTTCAACTTTTTTGCTACAAACATTTCCATTAAAATGTAAAGAATCGAAATGTAAGATGAATATCGATATGGATGATCTATTCGAAATCTTTCAAGACCGAGAAGAACTTATGAGTGCATGTAAAAAATCAATTCAAATCTATTTAAAAAAAAATTCTAGCCTCAATGATCAAGTATTTTGCCCTAATGCAACATGTATCGGTCTAATTACACGCAATTGTGGCTATCAAACTTGTCTAACATGTGGACGAGATGTTTGTCCTTCTTGTTCTTTAATTGACGATGAATTACATCAAGGAAGAACATGTGATGAACGAAATATGGTTCATAAGATGGGCGATTTTCTTCCCAATCTATTTAAGGCAGCTGAAAAATTTGCACGTGACAATTGGACAACACAGACACCACCTATCATTCGAATTGATTATAATATGTCCTTAGCTGATCAGTGTCCATCGTTGAAGCGTTTCTATAAAGGTGTTGAAACTCTTGGCCAACCTTCACCACCAGATATGGCAAGAGGTTTCTTTACATTTCATGGTACAGCTCCAACGTCTATTAAACCAATTTGTGTTAATGGATTTGATCCAAGTCGTCGTGCCGGGCAAGCTTGTGGTGTAGGTGAATATTTTGGTGTGACTGCAGCTGTTTCACATGGTTATTCTTGTCGGGGAAGTGCACAAGGACCTTTTAGCATGATAATTGCTTTTCTTCTCAATTGTCCTCAACTAAGTACTCGTCCGGGCTTTTGTCATGTAATGAATAATCCACGTGATTGGTCACACGCATTCAATTTACCAGTTGTAGTAGTATCTTATGGTATTCAAACTACTTGTCCATCACCATTAGATAACTAGAAGAGAAGCACTGTTGATACATAGACGTCTTTTCAAAATTTGTAAAAGATATATAAATATATACCATTCTATTCTTGATAATAAAATGAAACATAACAAAAGAATAACTTGAATAAGAGATGAATCAAGTAGATATACTGTCTTTGATGCTTTGTACCTATATTGACTAGATCAGAAATGATCAAATTGGTAGAAAGCCGAAAAACTAGGGTTTAAATGATGAAAGCGATCACATTTATAAGTGTAGCACTTATAGGAAGATCAGAACCTCAAAAATTTTAATATAAAAAATACACAATTTCTTTTTTTCTAAAATGCATATTTTTTCAAAGTATAACAGTATGAAAACGTCATTTATTTGTTGAGTTTCTTCTTTTTACATCAAAGCACAAAAGAAAGAAGAAATATTTAATCTGAAATGATTTGGTAGCATCTGTGTATTTTTTTTTATGTAAACCTATCTGCACATCTCTTTTCTGGTTCAGTTCACATTACAGTAAATTCATCTTCTTTTTATTGGTACCTTGTTTTGTAGATAAGAGTGACGAAATTTTTATGCAGATGAAGTCATAGTTAAGATATATTTGCAACGATTGTTGATGAACAACATTTTCAGAAATATCACATAAATAATCTGCCTGTTTATGCTTTTTCAATAATTGATAGAGCAAAAAGCTTTAAGTTATACGTAATAATGCATAATATACAACAAAAAAAAAACTTTAAATTAAACTAATTGCAAATTATCAAACAGAAAAGTGCGTGAGTGTAGATAAGAAGAATATCACAAAAACAACCATACTCTAACACCCAAACTTCATCATTAATTAATATGATTACGAAGAAAACTTTGGTCTACAAGAATATGATTTGTTTTAGATGATTTTGTATTTTACTGTATTGTAAATGATTAGATACTCAATTGTCTACGAGTTGATATTATATATGGCTGTAATACTGCGACAAGCAAACATTAATTTATAGTTATTGACGACCGCAAATTCTATGAAACTACAGTATATTAAGTATCAGTGTTGATCTTCTCAGCGATTGTAATTATCGTTCAGGAAAATATAGATATTTTCTTTTATTGAGTAATCAGGATAATAGTCATGATTAACATAGGTGAAGGGAACTGTTGTATCGTAGACAGAAAAGAATAAACTGATGATTAATTTATGTCGAACAGAAAACGTTTAAAGCGGTTGTGTATGGAGAAAGAAAATACTCGTTTAATATCATTCTACATGGACGCAATATATAGACGCGGTTTATGTCTGTATATGAAGTGTACTGTATGGTATACAGGCGAATAGATATACGATCGTAATAGAAGCATATGTGCATTCTATATTTATCGGCTTGGACAGAACAAGACATTTTTGTTTCTATGAATATAAATTATATCACTTGGGTTATCATATACTTGTTTAGAGTTTTGAGAAAAAACTTAGAATTTTTTCTTTAAATAAAAATTCGAACACGTAATATTTTGTAAAACTGTACAATGTTTTGATGATCATGCTAAATCTATACTATTTCAAAGTTTTATATATAAAAACTTTACTTACAAAATTATCTGACTCATTAAATAAGAAATTTATTATATTCCAAATGAAAAAAAATTAGTTTCAAATTAAGTTTAGCAGATTAATATTCAATATTAAATATGATACTTATCTTGAGTAATTTAGAAATAACGTTTTACTATGAGTAATTAATCATTGGATTTTCAAAATAATGACTTAAAATTCATTTTTTGTTTGTTGGTGCATTACACATCAAGCAGAAAGTTATACTAACGTGAGAGTTTAGGCAGTTCAATTAAAATGCAAGAAAATGAAGCAATAGGAAGTTATTATTGCATAATGTCTTGGTATTATATATTTTTTATATTTCAGATAGAAGTGATAGCTTTTGAAATTTGTTCGTATAGTATTATGCTTTACTATTATTGATATTAGGATTATTTATTGCAAAATTATTACCATTATTTATAACTCTGATACATTTGTAATCAATGATGATACCTATGATAGTTCGTGTGAAAAAATTTCCAACAACAAAAGAAAGATTTTTATATCTGGAAATGTCATTATCATAATAGAACAATATAGTTTGGTTTTGGAATATTAATTATCAATATTCACAGTAGACAAATATTCATATATATGATTATTTTTTTTTACAACTACAAAAAAGTTTTCAATATCTTTATTTCTTTATCTATATACTAATTACTTGTTTTTTTTTTTACAAGAAAAATATTCGCAAAGTTAAAATGGCAGGGCTATAAAAACACTATCTGACATAGAAATTAACAACATTAAAAAAATACAATGGCTTTTCATTTATATATATATATATGTAACCATGTGTCTAATAATCGACAATCCATTGCCATGTTTCTTTTAAAAGAATATATTTGACAGCTTCGAAAACATCAAGTTTAATTGCTGTTGGTACTTTCCATGGATTTTTGCCATCAAGTTTTTCTTTATTTGGTTCATAAACACCTGTACATACTAAAATTGATTCACATGATGTTGCACTTAAATATTTCGAATCCGATAATAAACTATAACCACTAATACTTGTTCTTAAATTCATTGCTTGTTGTAATAAATGATTATACATATTTGCACCAGTAATATCAACATCTGGATTATCTCCAATAAAATAAATTTTATCAATTTTTTGTTGATCATTAGCTAATGCTATTTTATTAGCTATTATTTCAGCATATTGATATGATATTTCAAATGGTTTACCAACAAATGCTGTATATTTCAGATCGTTTCCACTTAAACTCTACATAGAAATTAAAAAAAAAAAAGAAGTTCATATAATTTTTTCTTTTCTATAAATGAAAAAATTTATTCACTTTATATAATGTTTCTAAACATGTAAGAAAAGCACCATGACCAAAACGTGGTAAATCTGCAGCAGCTTTGAATACAAGATCTCTGTTACATGCAATGATAGGTATATGATCATGTATAGTATTTGAATCGTCTGATACAATTGCAGGATTACCATCGGTTAAAAGAAGATCAATAATAACTTGTAATGATCTTTCCCATTGAATGGGTTCACCAAGTAAAACAATAGCTTGAAAAAGCAACAAAAATGAAAATATTGATAAGAAGAACAGTATGAGTATCTACCTTCAATAGGACGAAAATTTTCATCATGAACAAGACCTTGAGTACGAATCATTTCACTCTAACATACATAATAAATATAGACATTTTGTTTTTTCTTAGTTACTTACTAATCTAACCCGATTCATATGATTAACCATATCTAATTCTGGAAATGCTTCACAAACTTTTTCAATTGTTGTTATACTTTTAAAACCGATCCTATTTCATAAAAACATAAATAAATAAGCATTAGAAATAATAAATCAAATTAGAATCGATACATTCGAGCAATATCTTCAGCTTGACCTTGTCCAGAAACAAGAACATGTTTATTATGAAAATCCGTTAATGTACGCATTGGTGTTTGAGCAAGAACAATTTGTTCAGGATGAATCTATATTTAAACATATATATATATATATATATATATGCTTAAAAAAGTCGAATGAAAAAAAACATTAGAATGATTAACTCACAGTTACTTCAAGTAGAGCTGATAATTGTTTAGCTTTATCTGATTCGAGCATACATGTATTTGAAACAAATACAATCGGTACATTGAGCTGAATCAATGTTTGAATTGCTGGTTTAGCAACTGTAATGAAATTTGGACCTTTTGTAATAACCCCATCGATGTCAAAGAAACATGCAAAGTTTGGCTATTTAATAAAAGAAATATTTAATAATAAATAAATAAAATAAGTACAAACATTAATCTACCGGTCTCATAATAAAGATGCTTTGTATTAATCAGCGTTCGGTAATATTGTTCGAAGAAACAAATTTATAATAAAAAAATTTTGCCGGAGCAAAATCAAGGAAATCGATGGTATTTATAGACCGGTGTTGATAATAGAAAAGGGGCACGAGAGGGTCCGCCCTGTGATACCATGTCGTACATACTAAACTTCGTTGTTTAATTTCATTCATGTGATCAATTAATAACGTTATTTAGTCAGATGATATATGTATCCTGGCTCAGAACATACCCTCACTGAATGATATTCTTCTATTATTGGCACATTCTTCTCTTCTTGTTCGTTATGGAATGTCATGCTGTTAGGAATGACAGTAGAGAGGTAAAGAACAAAGTATATAGTTTTTCTATTTCTGTTCTGTTGGAAGACGAAGTTGAGGGCAAATGGATGACGCTGTTCTATTTATTCCTAGAGGCTACACATGTAAATCATATTGTAAGTCTATTTATATCTAATGCACTAAATGTGCAGGACATTTCAAAAATTAATCACTACAACTTTAATAGATATTCAACTCAGGTCAACATATAATTCAATTCTATCATATAAATTTTGTTATCATGTGATTGTTTAAGGAAAGAGAGCAAATGTATATCTCATATTTAACTGCCAGTTTCTCTCTTTGTTTTTACTTGACCTTATTCTATTGTATACTTTTTATCAAGTGTAACTCATATCAATATTTTCTCAGTAGTCTGTACACTTTAATAATGAAAAAAATGTTTCTTTCATTTAAATTGAGAGTTTTAATATTCAAATACTATCGAACTTTTGTTTTTTTATTTTGATCATAATCAAAGTTTTATTCAAATAAGAAGATGGAGAAGGAAGAGACTGAGAGTTTTAGCCTGATTATAGCTATGAATATGAGTCTTTTTTTTTTGAAACTACACACACCTACATTCACACCCTAAAAGCTTTTAATGCAGTTCACTTTTTACCTAGTTTAAATATCAAACAAAACATCTGAACGATCATTAATTAACAATAAAGTCAATTTATTTTACGTTCTCAAACAAATAACATAGATAGATTTTTTTTATAGGAAGCACTTGCTGCTACATATATGCTAAAGTCTATCTTGATTTACCATAAC